GATGTTTGCTGCCAAACGAATGTAATTTGCTTTTAATGTTTAATTGCAGCGTTCTGCCGTGATAGAATGCGAAGTTTTAACTTGTAACCTGCTATTATTTTGAGTCACGGAGTCTGCTACGAGCTGTATTGGCGACTGGATAAGTTGCACCTCTTTAAGATTAAGAGATGGGGAGAGAAAGAAACAGTGTACAGTGCAGCCCTTTTATTAATTCACTGCTGGATAAAGGCTTCTCCGCCGTCGTGTCGGGAGTTGTGGGTCCATATCTCACGACGCTAGCCAGTGCGGCATCTTGAAGGGGGTGTTTGGAGCAGGACCTCAAGAGAGATATCCCTTGCCACTCATTGCGATGAGCCGTGGCAGGGAATCGAACTCGGCTTACCGGATTCATCACGCGCAAACAATTGCGCCCACGACTCCTCCTTCAAAATGTAACTTGTCCAAAACCATCCCAACAATGTGTGTGTCACTGCTGAAACGAGTTCTTGAGACGTCTTCGTCGTCGTCTTATTCCTCGAGTAAATAAATGACTTTTAATCACTTTGTGCGTTGTTGCCGCTATGCGTTTTTCGTGCCCGTCGCAAGCACCTGTTGAATGAGACAAACGCGGCCGGGGACACCTGATCACAGTCTGAAGCCGACAGACTGGGGGGTGGTGGTGGTGGTGGTGCCACCTATCCCAGTCGTATTGTCCGCCGGTTACCCCCCCTCCCCGTCCTTTTGACGGCTGTGAATTTGAGCTCCCCCTCGCTTTTAAGCGTTGTGCACAAACACGACTGTTTTTATCTGTCGCTGCCCTTTGCTTAAGCGGGTGGATATGCATTTACATATCTGCGCAAAGCCGAATATATGGCAGGGTTTGGTGAACTGTGGTAATAAATGGCGTGTAAGTGCATCGCGTGTTAATATCTTTAGCATTTTTAATTGGCTTTGTACTTTTTGTACTTTTTGAAATGTAAAGCACTTGTGAAAGGCACGTGGTTTTATTACTTTTGTACCATATGTCGGCATATAGGAGTATGCGATGCGCTAATAAACCTGTCTAAAAATAGAACTGACTTTGGTGCTAATATTCTTATTGTATAGACGTTATAGGGTTTAGACCGCGTAAGTTAGCGGCACACATTCGGTTTAATCTCTTATCTTTTGCATTCAAGTCCACGCGCCTCGCGCAGTGCTTTCCTGTATCGTTTCTCCGTATTGTTCTCGTAGTTTATCCCTCCCTTGTAAAGGCGCATTGCCTTCTTGGGCCCCCCCCAACTCACCTGCCCAAATAAAGGACTGGCATCTAAAATAAAGTGCGAGTGATTTGTGCAGAGCACACGTGTGCAGTAACATCCAGCACTCGAGACGCGCAGTGATTGCACCTCGAATATAATAATAGCAGTACCATTCATTTTACCCAGGGAAATCTCACTGAGTCATAAGCCTCATTTTCAGTGTGGTTCTGCATCCCAATGCGTCCCAGTGCAGAGCCCCGCATCCCAATGTGTGTTTTCCATGTGTACCCAGAGAAACCCTCCATTACCCTCTCCAAATACTCAAAGTTCTGCACAGATTCAAGTTAATCCATTTTAAAGTACTCTGCTATTATGGAGTAATGCTTATTTAACAACCTCCCCCACGAGATTCGAATAATCGTTCACCTTTTGGAATGCCATTTTATTATTAAAGTTTTTAAATATTTTTTTCTACTCACATACACATGCTAGAAAATACATAATGGTCAATATATACACATACCCATGAGAGTACTGAAATGGGTTTGCTTTAATGTGTACATAACACTTCCTTACAGGCTTACACTGTAATAATTATACCATATTATGCAGCAATGCCAAACACATCACACGCTGATGAGTGGCCGCTGGAAATGGTGATACCCGTTTTGTTTAATATTGCATGAGGAGCGTCTGAATAATATATGCGCTTATAATTTCAAGACCTGGAGCCACTAGTGCACACTGCCAGGTGTTGTGCTCGTAAATTAAGGGGGGGGGGCGGTGTTTAGTTTTGTTTGTAAATCTCCAAATTGGGAGGCGAGCAAGATCCTTCGCGGAGTATTTCCAACAAGTGGCATTAAAATACCGCAACGCCGTATTTGCGTTCAAAGCCTGAGTGGGGGAGGTAATTTAGAATTTTGAAAAATCTCCCTCCCAAAGTGATTGGTGGCACATAATAGCACTTGCTTCTTATGCATGCGTTGCGCTGACGAGCGGAGGGCGAGTTTTTGTAGTCTCCAAGCTGTGAGTGAGCCTAGCAGCAGAAATGCTTTGGGGGTGGTGGTGGTGGTGTGCGGCTGAGTGTGGGATGGCACCGTTCCTTTTTGTTTACGGGTGTTGCCATGGATACGCACCCCCAGTGCTGCCGTGGGAACAGAAATCCAAACAGGGAAATTATTAACACAGGGCTCCAACCACGGGATAGGCGCACTGGATGCTTTCAGCGCCTGGTTGCCGTTTCCTAGCAACCATTGTGTTACTCGGCAATTAATTTGGAATTGTCAAGTTGCCGTTGTTAAGTGTGCCGAGTCGTTGTGTCTGCGAGGCGTTTTAATTTGTCTAATTATTAAAGCTGAAGAATTATACTGTTAATCTTTTGTTTTTAGAATTCAGGAATTGCATTTTTCGGCTGTTTCTGTATCATAGCAGGGCGAGTCTTCTTTCAGCGACTTTGCATGTCACAAGCATGAGGTTTAAGTGAATACAGCTGCTCCATTGTTTTTAAGCTATAGAAAGTTGGTTGCTAGGCAGCGGTTGCCTAGCGATCATTTAATTGGCAAATCCCCCCCCTCTTGCACTTGGAATTGGAAAGTAATAGAATGGAGGCTTGACCAAAAGCCAAGCTTTTATACAAAAGCCGCAGCTGGAAACACTCGGCAACAAGCCTCTGTGTATGCCGATTGTGCTCCTTTCTTCTCATTTAATTAGCTTGCGCGACACTCGTCGCATTAAATCTCTGCAGTGGAACGAGCCCGGGTTCCCTTCAATGAAGAACTAATTTGAAGCGTTATCATAATGTCCGCGGAATTTTTCTGGCTCTGATCCCTACCTTTTTTTTTGCTTAAAAGCACGGGTCCAATCAAAAAGTGAGGCGTGTAATACGGTTGCCCCCTGGCAAACTTTTGTTTGAGGCATTAAGGTGACCTGTGGCGGGCTTCAGAGGCGGTCACGCCGTCCTTGCCACGCAAGAAGCTACATTTGTGTTTTTAGATTAATAGAACGTGGATTATTTGCATATCTCAGTGGCTGATATTACCACTTGTTTTTTTTGCTACCAAATGCATGACATCAGTGGATGTACCCCTGTTTTGATTTTACACAGTATGCAGTTATGATTGTTGCCATTTTTTTGACGTGTACCATATTAATAAGCAAATGGTATGGCATAATGCTAAATTAGGTTTGCTTTTTAAAGGCATACCTATATATACAATGTTAACTGACAATATTTTGTTTTATTTCAAGGGGTTATATGAGTTAGTAATTACATTGTGATTTAAGGAATGACAATATGGCCATGTGATATGTCTTGTACTTTATTCAGTAATAAAATGTTACCAGGATTGAATGTTTTTTTTGCTCTACCCAGAATAGCATCTACTTTAGCTCATTTAGGTTCTTACAAGGTAATGTAGCTGTTGCATAACATGCATTACATTAAGAGCCAGCTGTCTGTTTGATGGTATTATTAGGCCTTGTTAGGTATATGTGTATACTCAATGCAAAGAAATATAATTTTCTTTTGCAAATTATTTTGCTCTACATTATTTACATAATGCATACATATGGGACTTATTTAGGTCTACGCAGATTTTTACACTTACAGCCCTTGTCAGTCCACTCCTGGATGACTGCCCCCCTGCTGTAATTAATTTGACACCATGCTGGTCATGGGGATTATTTGACCATTCTTCGCCAAGTTTTTGAAGTTAGGGAGCATAGTTGCACTGCCTTCTCCTGACAACATAGCCAGACAACAGCCTGTTTCAGAAATGATAGTGATCCATCCTAGCAGTATTTCCGGCTCAACACCACACAAACCTTTCGAAATTTGATGATGATTTTGTCATGGGCATGTACAATTATCATTGCATTAAATAGTGTTACTTGAAGACGGCTTTTTAAGTGTAACTATTCACTCCACAAGTTAATCAGAAGTGAGACGTGTGATTCACACACTTGGTATATGTGGCGAAAAAACACATTATTTACGCGTTTAAATGAATGTTGTGTACCGAATTAATTTTCATGTACTAATGATGCACCTTAAAAGCATGTAAATAACATGATTTGTCACTTGACATTTTACTAGCAGAATGTGCTGAATAGAAAAAATGTCGATAATGGCACACCTGCACTGTCAAGAGTTGACTTGTCCTGAATCCATTACGAACGCTGTTGTTTGTGGTTTCTCTGGGCCCCTTGAAATATGTAATGAGTTGTTCATAGATATAAAAAAACAAAAGTACACGTGGAACTGTACCCACAGTAATGCATACATTTGTTGGCCACTTTTTTATAACCAGCTAAAAAACAACAGCAGATGCATGACAAAAAAACCCCTAAACATTGTGCTTATGCCAAGCCAGTTTTTAATTTGTAGCATCCAAATGTCCATTTCGTTACAGCACTAAATATTGCTTGTGGGAAAATCTATGATGAATGTTGCAGATTGCACAAGTGCATGGAATGGTTTATCTGTCGTTCCACGCCGCACTCAAAGGAGACAACAAAAGGAAGATGCCTCTTCAAACGGGGTGGGGGGGGGGGAGCTTACATTTTTCTCGAGAAATTGAGTAAGAACAATACAGTATAAACCCTGAATAGAACTCTTGGCTGTTTGGTATTTATACTGATTAGCACAGATTAGGTAAATTGGCTTCCAGGAGCAGCGCGACTCAGCGAATCGTGTTAAATCCTGTTTAAAATGCCATCTGCTGTAATTAATTTTCATAATGCTGTGGTGTGATTTTGGTTCACCATGGCTTAAGCTTTCTTGGTAAAAGCATCTACGTCCATTTGTTGTGTTCTAGATGAGCTGTGCGTGTGGGTTGGGAGTTGCTGCTGTTTAATGTGCCGTACCATCATATTAAACCCAGTGAAACCTTAATCGCACAATACAATGTCTGTTGGTAAACTAATAGGCTGTACGTGAATGGGGAGAGACATGATTATGAGATTGAGAAGGAATGGAAAGGAGCTGGAGTTTTTAAATTTTTATTTTAGCAGGTAAGGCCTACTGGGCTATAATATATTTTTCAGAAGCGACCTGGCCACAAATGACAGCTCTACTGAGTGGCTTATCACATGGAAATTTATAGCAACTAAATACTTTTAAGTCCTGTTTCTAAGTGTAGAGTGAATAACCGGAGGACCCGGAGAAAAATCCACACGATCACGGGGAGAACATGCAAACTCTAAATATACAGGTGTCAGGATCAGGATCGAATCCATGACCTCCTGTATTCCAGGCCAGGTAATTAATATATCGCCACCGTGGTGAGTTGAACAGGTGAGGGAAATAAGTAAAACTCTGCTGTAGTAAAGTAATATTTTTGCAAAAGTGACAAATCAGAAGACAGTGTCCACAGCCAAGGAAATGGAGTTACAGACAATTAGAGCAGTACAGGGAGAAGGGGTCAGTTCCCATTGAGTGATTGTTGTTGTTTATAAAAGCCTTAATGTGTTGGGAACAGTGGGCAAATAGCTATGGTTTACTTAATATAATTGGCAGAAAAATATGGCAATTAACACATCTGTTGAATATCATTGTCCGTAATACCAATTGTCTTGCTGTCATGCATTTGTGAATCTCAGTGGTATGATAATAATGTGTATGAACTCGGAAGGCATTGGAGTTAAGTGTAATATTATATTTTGTTAATATGAATATAAAACCTTAAGGAATGGCAGTATGTACCTGCACAACAGAATAATTGTGCGTGATGCCACATTGCTTACAATATTCAAATTCTAACATCTGGTATTTTGTCCTAAGCACAAGGCACGGACATTCGTGCAATTTTATAAATTTTCGTACGTTTCTTAGACTTGATGACACACGCAAATCGAAATAATGAACACTTAATGTGTTATCAATACGCTACACAGCTAACTGAATTATTAAACAACGATTTGTAAGTAAATTTAGTAAACGTGTTGGTTAATGCTCTCGAAAGGCCCCCCCCCTTGCAGCGGCGTAAACACCGCCCTTGGTAAAAGCCACACAAAATTCCCAGGTGAGAAAGAGGGGTGGTGTTTTTTTTCCGTGACGAGCTTTCGACAGGGCTGCCACACACCACCGCCTTGCGGGATCACTCGCAAACAAAAAACGAGAGAGGCAGCGGCCTCGGCCAGCCTCTCAGCCACTTACCCACAATCCCCAGGGGGCCTATCTAGCAGGCGGTAATTACGGTGCTGCCGTCTGCACAGAATTTGTGGTTCTTAATTTCACCGCAGATGTAGAGGCACGAAGAGCGGGCACCTGGCTCGCGTTTTTATTTTTTATTTTTAAAAAAGACACATTTTTAAACGATATCACGCTGCCCGCGACGTCGCGCCATGGAACTTGATAAGTGTGATTACGCTGACGGCGACGGTGCTGAATACAACCCTTTTCCCCGGCATCCGTGAGTCCTTATTCCAGTCTTGCCGGTTTGCGCCTATTGGTTAGGCCGCGCGGCTCTGTGTGCACGGAATGGCTTTGTTACCGTTAAGGTTGCCATGGGGTCCTGGCGTTACCATGGCTACAACCTACAACACGTTTAAATCGTTGTTTTTTTGGAAAGGTTGTGTGCTTTTAAATTTAGTGTAATTGTGGGGCAGTTTATTGTATAATCTACCCTAAGCATATTTATTGTGCAGTACCTATAAAGGAAATATGCCGTCGAGAAAGACGCGATTGCATAACAAGCTTCCCGTTACTGATGCTGTGTTTTTGCTTTGTGTTGTCTTTGCGAAGGTCCTAGCAAATGGAGACATGCACTTAGGAGAGGTGTAAATGAAAGTGTATATTGAAATTATGGTCATTTACCTGAATGTTATAAGCGATGTGCATTTGACAAGTGTGTACTTTATAAATAAGCACATTTCAGTCGATTTGCAATATGTGAAATAATCAAGGTGTGAATTATTTTAGCACATTTTTTGTTTGCACTTCATACTTACTACAGTTAGAATCATTCATTTCAACAACCTTTTAATTCTCCATATTGATGTTCATATTTACTTGTGTCATTACCATAGCATGGAAATTGTTATAATCCTATGTCTTAGCTTTGGCTAAAATGTTACGTAAACATTTATAGATAGTAATTTATCTCTTTATTCCAAAAGCTTTCATTGCCAAATACCGGTATATGATTTTACTTACACGATGCTGTATAGTTAAAATTTAATGCTGCCTAAATTAATTGGAGATCAATTACATTAAACAACTTACGTTTCAAATCTAAATCAATGTGGACTAAGGGAACATTTCTTTCAGTTTCACAAAACCAGCTACAGGTGTAATGCCTATTACCCATCACATTTACACTGCTGACATGAGTGAAACCAGTTTTGCATTTGATGGTATGGAAAATTGTTGTTTTTTGCTTGGTTAAGCATCGGCTTCCAAAAGCATTGAATCAGAATACCCGTCGATTTATTGACCACCTGTTTTATAATGAAAACAGACAGCTGTCTGTCTTTATTATTTTATTAGCTCCAGGCCACTGACAACACAAATTTTGAGATGATTTTAACGTGAGAATATTTTTGAGGAATGTGTCTATAGTCACTACATATTTAATCCACTTGTATGCAAACACACTATGCTTACATTTCTCCCATTCACGATCCCACCACTGAAGAGGTCAACACGCCCTCAACCCCTGCCAGAGAGCATGTTCTTGTATTTGATTAAAACATGTCTTTAATACACCCTGTGATGTGACATAAATATCCCAGCAATACCCCTGGTCTTGCAAAAATAAAAATCCTTTTCACAATGAGGTCTTGTTTTATCGGCTTTGTGACGGGGTGATGACAGTGCTGCAATTAACACCAAGTCGGTAATTGGCCGCCTCGTTTTGAGCTGCGCTTTCTGCAGTGCCTACTGCAGCACACATTTTACTGCGTGTCTGCCCATGTACGGGTGACGCTATCAGATGCTCCTCGGGTGATGCCACCATCTGCTCCTTTCATCTTTCTGTCCCCATCCCATACCTCCTTCCCTCCGTCCTGCCCGCCTGTCCGCCCACCCGTGAACGCAGTGTCGTGATGGCGACGCAGACGTATGTGACCGAGCTGACGGTGTCGCAGCCGGCGCAGCAGCAGCAGCCCCAGCAGCAGTACGTCCATGTCATCGTGTCCGGTGAGTGGCCTGAGGCTCGGGCCCAAAATCCTGGGATGATGACCCAGGAAGGACCATTTTATCATCGCATATAACTCTCGATTTAAAGCTTTCGTGACTGCAGGGATTCATCTTCTTGGTTCTTTCGGTAAAGTTCCCTTCTACGTGACTTTACCGAAAGAACCAAGAAGACGCATATAACTATATTCTTAGGTTTTTTCGGTAAAGTCACGTAGGTAAAACATCAAAATTAATAACTCCTTCAGTGATTTATACATGTACAGTGTGCAGAACTTTTGTCAATCTGCTGCTGGATGAGGGCCTCCCTATGCTGTATCGGTCGTGGGGGTTATTTGAGCATACTTCACCACACTGGTCAATGCAGGTTTGTGAAGGTGGGGGAGAATAAATGCTGGAGCATTGTACAGTGCAACAATGATATACTTTTCACACTGTTTGCCGCTGCCCACAATGTAGCTCCACAGCAGCCTACAATACCTGTATTATGCATAGTAGTCATCCCTTCCAAGCACTCTAGTTGAAGCCTGCTTAGCTTCCAAAATCTGACAAGACTAGTAATTTAGTCAGGCATTTCATTAGTCATTTAAAAGAAGTATACGTTAGGGGAAATGTACATGTAAAGAGGTGTAGCCGAGGGCATATGTGGACATTGGCATATAAAAACCTCATTAATGAATTATTTGGAATATATTTCATTTGTTTGAGCAAATGGAGCAGGCACAATAAACCACCATATGACCACTTCCTAAAGAAATTTATTTTTTTAATGGTAAACAATATGAAAAATGGTAAAGATATTAAGCTGTAGTCACATGTTGATGAAAAATCCCAAACATATCATGATTGGGCAATTCCACCCCATCATTGGTGACAACACCATCGTACCCACTTTTGGGAAAAATCTAATTATAAATATTATTTGGCAACACTTATCCTCGGCCATATGCAATGAGCATTGTGAGTGATGTGAGGTGGCAAGCACAGGTGATCCGGTCCTGCTTTTGGTGATTTCACCCTCAATGGGTGTACCCATGAACAGGTAATTTAAGCGTGCATGGTTTATTCTGTGAGAACAATAGCGAGCATGTGATCTTTGGTTACACCTCTATTGGTGCTGCCTGTTGTGGGAATTGTTTTGAGCCTTGTAACTGCATCACATTTGTCCTTTCGTGAGCCGAGTATCGATCACACCTGTGGTGTCCGTAGTATAAACCTGAGCCCAAAGTTTAACTAAATGATTATCTGATGCTTGTAAACTTGTATAATAACTTTACATGTATCCCTGAATAATTATGGTGAATTTTAATTAAGGTGTTAATGTTTTGAAATACTCTTATATCCTTGCATTGCATATTTACTCTAGCATTTACGTTTTATTCAACATGTGGTGGTACGCACACCTGTAAGTCTTATTTTGACGGCAAGGGTTGATGGATCACGTTCATTTGGGAAACTCACAATCCTGCTTGGCTAAGAGGTGGCAAATATATAGCAGTATAGCCAAGAGGCTTCTTAACCTGTCTGTGTATGTATTTTGGTGTTATCCCATATTTATGAATGTTCTCTGAATTATATTTTCCTTCGACATGCAAAATACTTCTTTACTCAACAAATCCCTATGCAGGACCGTCCTGGAAAGGTCTTGGTATTTTGCGAGGCTTTCCTGGATAATTAAATGACACTTAGATAATTAATGTATCCAACTGATACTATTTACAGCACCAGTGTTATTTGCTTTGTGCACCATTACTTATATTTGGCATCGGCTGCAACTATGCTTGTTTGTACGTAAGTGTAGGGGGCACTTGTGGCTTTACGGATGCACTGTGCACGGTTTTGTTCATGCGCATAAGGAGATGCCGTTAATTGGCATCCGCGCAGTCTCACCCTGTACAGGTGATCTCGAGCACAGGTCTCGTACAACAGATGGGGTTATTGTGATGTGTGCACACTTGCTTGTGCGAGAGTGCGCGCGTGCACGCTTGTGTGGGTGAGTGCATGTTTGTGCGTGTGCGAGTATGCCCGTGTGTTTCTTGCAAATAATAATGCATCGGTTGACGTAGTGTGCTGTGATCTCGGTGACCTGGGTGCAATTTCTGCACCTATGCAGTGTCATTGGAAAATGAAGGACCGGAGGCTGTCCTGGACCTCTCTCCTATGTTTATTCAAATATAATTGAGAACCTGGAGCAGTGTGAAAACATTACCGTTGGAGAAACAACAAGGGTAGCTGGGCATGTTGTTGGCCACACGCTGCATCATGCGCTGTTGAGACCTGAAAGGACTTTGCAACTGAGAAAATAAATTGGTATTCTACAAATGCTTACCTAGGCTGTCTCTCAGGCAGTGCTATATAATGTTAGTGAGCAGAAATAAACTTTAAAATTACATTGAAGCATGTCATTTTTGCACTTTAGCAATGTCACTGTAACTTCCGAGACATTTTAACGTGTCAATGCAATGGCATCACTTGAGCATGATGATTGAGCACCTGGCAGTGATTTTAAAGTAAAACATTTCATGATCAAAGTCTCAAACTCATGTGTTAGAGCACAGGACACGAGGTACATAGCTGTTTGTTATTTGGGTTGAGCCATCTTTCAAAAGATTCTCACTAATAGATCTTTGCCTGTCTTAAGGCTAAAAATATTTGTTTCTTTGTGTTAGTTTGTGCGTATATGCGGATGAGGTGGCACACGGGTGAGCGCACTGCGCCCTGAATCTATAACCGGGGTTTGATTTCTGGTCATGGATATCAGTGGCAAGTGCTATCTAATCCTGTCTTGGGCCTCACCTAGATTGACTGACTCGTTTCTGTGTGTGTTGTGGTCTGTTTGTCTGTGCCTGCGTGCGTTTTTGGTGTGTTTTGTTTGAGCAAGTGTCTGTGTATTTGTGAATTTCTGAGCGAGTTTGTCTGTGCACTGTTTCAATTCCAGTAACCTGGGTGAAATTTTCTGCAGAGATATTGCTACTTGAATTTGTGCAGGGCCTCCCCCTTGGTCAACTGAGGCCTAAATGAGTACCTGGTGCTGTGTGTGAAAATTAACCCTGACAAGACAAAGGCTGTTTTACTGGTCACACGACTTTTTATTGTGCCATGCCAGTCTTAATGAGTGCTTGCTAACAGCACTTTCTTCTAAAACCTGCAATGTATATGTTGCACTTCTTTTACACCCTACGTAGCCAACCATGCTAATCAGGTGTGGGGGGAAGGACAACAAACAAGACACAAAAAGCTGTTCTAAATAAATTAGTTTTTAATCTAGAATTAAAGGTGCATAGCTCCAGTGGCTTCCTAATATCGGAAGGGAGAGCATTCCAGATGCCGCAGAAGCGCATCTGAAAGTGTGCGATGCGGTGACTGCCTTTGTTCTATGGCTACCCTAAAGCCGCTGCGAGGATGACTGGTGTTTGCATGATGGTTTATGCTCCTTGATGAGATCAGCAAGGTTTTGTGGTTCATTTGTGGCAAGCGCTTTGTGTGTAATGAGTGCGACCTAAATCATGGATCTTTGTGTGTGTGCGTGTGTGCGTGCGCCCACACGTGTGTTGACTCCCCCCCCCAGAGAGCGGCATGCAGGCGACTGCCTCCACCTCGGACTCGGCACGCTCTGTGCCGCTGCAGGTGTCCTCAGCTGGGCAGCCCCCAGGGGCTGCACAGGGAGTCCAGCAGGGGCAGCAGCAGCAGCAGCAACAGCAGGTAGATAGTGCCTGGCAAGGGACTCGCTGATGGGATCTGGCTGCCCAATCACATGGGGGGGACAGGCTGTGGGATGGTGTGCTGTCATTCACATATGCGCTCTTATTTATGATCGGTAATTAGAATACAAATGTAAAGGTATTTATTTCGATTTAAAGCTTTCGTGACTGCAGGGATTCATCTTCTTGGTTCTTTCGGTAAAGTCACGTAGAAGGAAATTAATAAAATAAAATAAAACATTTTAATTATAAAATAATTCTCACGACGTTTCGGCCACAACGCAAGCAGCCGTCTTCAGGTGGACTTTACCGAAAGAACCAAGAAAATGTAAAGGCATTGTTTTGCTACAGATTCAGGTACTGGAGTATCATAATCATCATCTCACAGGCAATGCTAATGGCAATCTACGAATAGTACAGGGTTCCCTCGCTTTATGCGGGTTCAGTTTGTGTGATTTTGCGTATTTCTGCCCAAAATTCGCGATATGCAGTTTGAATTTACTCAGGCAGCTATGCGGTCGGACGTGGGACAGCGTTGTATGCACTACTCGGCAGGCAGCTTGTCTCGTGCGGTTTTTCTTTGTGAACCCTTATGGAATGCGTCGACCACATAAAGCAAGGGAAACCTGCAGTCGTAGTACCTGCAGCTCAGATATCAATTCACACCGTGTCAGTTCTGGAGGTTGTTTAATCATACTTCATGGCCCTGTGATGTATAAGCACCAAATGAATTAATCACTTTCAATATTTACAGTGCCTTTATCGTCATCATCATCTTTGATCAAACCTCTACTGGATGAAGCATCCCCAAACCATCTCCATCCCTCACAGTGCCTTATAAAAGAAAATCCATGAACACATCCTTACAAGGGAAATAGAGAATAAGCTATTGTTTTTCAAAATGGCCCTTCATTGTCTAAAATGTCAGCCTAGAATAGTATTTATTGTAAAAGGCAGTGTTAATGTTGTAGGTAGTGAGTTGGTTTCATCATTGATCATTACTGTACACCTCGCTGTCAAAAAATCCAAGATCGTTATTAATTTGAATGTGATCCATGTCTTTTATATTATCTCTTTTATTCCTTTTTGTCTTGTCACGTTTTAACAACTCCCAGTGGCATTAAACTCAGTGCAGTAAACATGTCACATCACCGCTTTAAAGAACATCACTGTGCACGAAAGACCCTTTGTTGGAATAATTGTGATTGATACATAATAATGATCAGGATGTTTATGAGTAAAATGCCACTCGCGTTCGTTTGTGCATTTAAACAGCATGTTATATAGTTTAAAAGTTAGTTTACCGAGATAGTTTTAAGATGCAACATACATAGTTTGCGTCGCTTTGCAGGACGGTTAACTTATAAAGGAGCACCTTGTCACTGCGGCTGATAATTGTGAAATGTGCGTCGACAACGAAGCAAGCAATTTGAAAATGTACTTTAGCCTTTTCATTATTATTACTATTGTGACAAATGCCTGTTAAGTGTTAATAATGTTGATGTAAATAAATAACTGTTGTAATTTGTTTTTAAATAGAAGTACAACAGAGAATATAATTTGTGTATCTCTTGGAGCTAACTTTTGTGCCACCCACTATCTCTGTTTTGGTTTAAAGACGTCATCTCTATTCCTTCAGGTGTTACTGCAATTCTAAAATTTCAAGTCAAAGTATATCCTTGTTCAAACTCACAAATGGGTGGCACTAACTTGTGTTGTTGTTCCTGAGCCAGTGTTAAATATTGCTTGAGCCTGTGGTGAAGGGAGAGTTTCTCCTAATGACCTAAAATCACGATGATTCATTATTTGTCCAGGAAAGCCTCACTCGGTCTCAAGACTCTTTCCGATGTTCGGAAAATTCCTCGCCGAGTTTTTTTTTTACCGCAAGAATGGGACTTCTCTGTTGTATAACTGCTACCACTACTGAGCAAAATGAAGTAAATATTTAACGTTTATCTTTTGTGTTTTTTAGTTGAGGGCAAAGGTGGCCTTTATTAGCCTGGCATATTCATTCATGGTGATTATGCGAAGCTTATTGTGTCAATACAAAAATAAAATGTTTTATCGCCACGCAAGTACACAAACTCAGCCCATCATCTGTACAGAGTCGATTAAGCGAATACGGCTGTGGGAAGGTAAAAGCGGTACCCCTCTGGGATAGACTCATTTACGCCCTAACAAATGTGGACTTTGCACCACTTGGCTCAGGGCTCTAAGCAGGAGCACCACTCCACACTCACGTGAGCGGGGAGACCACTGACTTTTTTTCGAATCGCACAAAAGCATGCCTAACGCGTGTCGTTATCTGAACGTAATGTGCAGAGGCTGGTGGTGCAGACGTCCACACCTCCCCAGAAGTCTACGCAGCCCCAGAGGGTGCAGGTCCCGCAGCAGGTACATTGGCGCCCACACCCAAGCCCCCCACCCCAGTATACCTTGACTCGTGTTTACAGAAGGCAGGTTCCTCGTAATTTTTGTGGTAAAGAGCCAAATTTATGAACAAAAGGGCTAGTCATTTTTATAAACAAGTGCAAAAATATTCTGTTTTTGTGAATTGTAATACAATTCAAATAGAACAGTTTTAAAAAGTTAGTGCAGTCAGTACTCGGACAAGCATCTTAGCTGCACTAACTGGGTACTAGACGTGAATATTTTAAACGTGGAAACACTTATTCTTTGGTTCTTTCGGTTAAGTCACGTCTGAAGATAAAATAATAAATTAAATAATAGCATATTATGACGTTTCGACTGCAACACAAGCAATCATCAGGCATAAAAGAAACGACCTCTCTCTTTGTGCCGATATGTGTTCTCTCTCTGTGTGTCCTTGTGATGTCTGTCTGCTTGTATGTCTGTCTATAGTTTTCTAGTTAGATTTTTGTTGCTATTTCTTTTATGCCTGATGATGATTGCTTGTGTTGCAATCGAAACGTCGTAATATGCTATTATTTAATTTATTATTTTATCTTTAGACGTGACTTAACCGAAAGAACCAAAGAATAATTCCTGCAGTCACGAAAGCTCCAAAATTAAGGTGGAAACACTTTTTAAAAACACAGTGAGCCCTATTTATTTATATTTTTGGATAACGTGTGTGTTAATGTGTGGCCCGCCAAAGGTATTTGAAAGTCGTATTTGGCCCTTGGTACGGAAGAGATCCCCACTCGTGAGTTAACGAAGGGTGGAGAGATGGTAGGCGGAGTTGGAAGTGTTAATCCTGGGGCCATGAAGCCTGGTGTTCGGGAACAGCTGCTGCAAATTCCAATTCTACCAATAGTTCTTGTCACCTTTAGAGTAAACCTTGGCGAGAGATGATTAATGATTTTCTTGTTTTATCAAAAAAACTAACTGCAAAGCTGCCTTTGTGTAACGCTTAAAACCGCAAGGCACAATTTGTTTAGTTTTTATAACCTTGTATGTTGTTCAAGAGTTTTTCCTCACCAACAATGTTTGTTATTTGAAAACAAATTTTTGGCCTCATTGCCCGTGAATGTTGTAGTTTTCCAGCCTCTTGCTCTGCGGAGGAAACTTGCAGTTATTCCGGTCCGAGTGTTAGTGATCCGCACGTGTTTTACAAGTGACTCGAATTCACTCGAGTGGCCGAAAAAGCACAGGAAACGTGCAAATAAATAAACAGTGCGTCGAGCAGAGGGTACGGTATGCTCATTAAAAGCAAGACCAACATTTCCAGTCTAAAACGCCACATCATCTGCTGCGCTTCCTGTTTCGTCGATTTTAATTCAGCTTTGTTGACTTTTCCTGGCACACATTCACTTAAGTCGGTGGTCACGTTTTAAAGCAAAATGGAAAGAAAAAAAAATTGTTCTGGCAAGTGGTTATGATAAACCACTGCAGCCTCGGCAGACGGACAGTGCATTCAAAGCGGATGAGTTGCACGGGCTGTACAAACCCCCCTTTGACCTAAGGAAAAGTTTATATTGTGCGTTTGCTGTTATCTGAATGGAGGATGTCCGTTTTCAATAGTGGAGTCATCTAAACTTGCATGGGGCACACAGCAGGTCGGTGGCAATGTTACTGCTGCTTTTACAGGCCAGGCATCCACAACTCTTTGGCTGGTGAGCTACCCTGGTTTGCACAGAATGTGCGTTGGGGTGATGATGTAGCTCGAGTGCCTTGTAAATATATAAGACTAGCTGTTCTACCCGTATTCGCCCGGGACTTGGATCCACCACGCCCGGCCGCCTTTGTCTCCCCAGTGGCGATGTTCACACACCACAGCAGTTACTCGTTTGAGGCTGAGTCGACCTAGGGGAGGCCCAGGACCGGTTAAAATAATCGTCACCGGTAGTGGCCGTGAGCGGGAATCGAACTCGGGTCGCCGGGTTCGTAGCGCAGCGCGCTAACCACTACACTACAATGCGTTACGCTTCCACATGCGCGGGTCACGTGACAGATTTGACGTCACAGCTTACTTGCTGTGCAAAAAATATATGCATTATTGAGCTCCCACCCCCCCAAAAACGCACAAGTGTATTTTTATAATTTTTGCATGGTGTACAGTCTGGAAAGTACCCACATGGCAAGTTTCCAGTTTGTTGCATGTCGGGAAGTACGCTAAACATTTTGAATAGACACATATATTCACAACTTTGCCTTTTATATATATGGAGATTAAGCTTAAAACTATGATAGAGATGTTGGGTTGTGTCTCGTGTTCTGAAATCGATTCCACTGCACGAAAAAAAAAGTTCTCTGTGAAGAACTGGTTCAGGTGCCCCACTGCTGCACTGCTGGTGTGCCCGCGTGTTCCACAGACGCTCCTGCGGTGCCGCATGCTACGCTGTGCTCGGAAAATACTGCCAGAAGCAGGAGGGTATTTTCTCGAAACGTTAAAGGACCTTATTGAGAGCTTGTTCTTGTGTGCGCGTGTGTGTGTGTTGCGCACGGTGTGCAATGTCGCAGGTGCAGGTGCAGCATGTGTACCCCAGCCATGTGCAGTACGTGGACGGCAGTGACCCGGTGTACACCAATGGAGCCGTGTGAGTGCTCTTGGCCAGTGGACCGCAGTGCCTGTGGGCTACACCTGTACACACACACACATACTCTACAGACAGAGTCTAATGGTAGCCAGAACATTTTTGTGTTCGAACATAATTGCAACGTCAGTAGGAATTCAAGCATCATCTTCTATCATGATCAGCCATTGTCTGTCTCCTGCTGGATGAATACCTCGCCCATGCTGTTTCTTTATGGGTCTGTGTTTGGCATATTAATCTCAATCTGCACAGGAACTAATTCCTTCACTCTATCTCCACGTTGGTTATCCTCGTGGGCCATTCCATCACTAGTTTTGGTTATCGGCCACCATTCCTTCTTGGTGTGTTATGCCCAAGCCAACTTGCTCTTGTTATTTCGGTGTGTCTGATTTTATTTATTCCCTGGCATGATGCTTTGCACACTTGGCAGCTTATGTTTCCATTATGGTGTAAATAGGATTTTTAGAAGTGATTTATTTATCTTGTTTTAATGACGAGTGATGCAGGAATGTGTTCCGTGTACTTGCACTGCAAGTGGCCATCACGATGCTACATTCCTTGCTTAAAAGTAGCAGGAAGGATGCTCAAAACTATTGATTGAATGTTGTGATATTGTAATGAAGGTTACAGTAAATGAATCTTGTTTTTAAAAGTTTCGGTGATATGTTCAACCACTTCAAATGTACATTTGTTGGTTGAAAAGCAATACATAACATTCCTATCATTGACTATTCACAAAACTGACTTCACATTTTTCTTCACTTTGCGGTGGTATATATAGTTGTATATAAATATTACGGTATCAAGTATTTTAAATAAATTAGTATAGTTTTGTGCCGTTTGTATATTCAAATAACTTCATGTTGTTTTATACAATGTAAAGTACGGATAAAGTTAGTGTTGCACTTTTAGCACTTTTCTAGGCTTGATGTGTGTAAGTATTTGTGCATACAACATTGCACAGCAAACCTACAACTATTTAGAAAAAGCGATGCTATTCCAACTATTCACACATGGGCCCCCTGACATTCGGGAAAATGGAGGTTACAGGAGCTGTGTTTTAAATGTTTTGGATGTAAGTGGTGGCCGGATGGCTTAGAGATCAGAGGGCTGAGCTCGCACCACTCAAATCGTGGGTTTGAACCCAGGCAGCCACAATAGTGATTTTATTTAACTATGCAAAGCGGGTTTTTCAAGAGAAGAGAGATAATGGGCTCAGCCCAGTCATCATTGACAGTACACAAAAAACTCGCATTAAGTTTGTGTTTTCACCTAATCTGGTTGCCAGCTCTGAGAATTTAAATGATTGGTTTTACTGTGATGCCACCAACATTACTCTTTGGCAAAGTAGTTGCGAATGTGTCAGTCCCTCCTGAATGAACCCGTGAGAAGTTTTTTTTTTTATTGCAGAGGTAGCTCAATGATATTGTTTTCCGCGTGTCATCAAACTCAAAGGGCTGTTCTACTCTGTAAGAGATCCAAATGCAGACTTGGACTCATGCCGTGACAACGATGGTACCATCGGGATAAGACTTGGGAGGGGGATGGGGGAGGGAAGGAAAAACACCAAAAAAAAGGAAATTAATTGTTAGATGTTTGGTTTGCAGGGACAGTAAAGGCGATTTGCTTTGCTTGTGGGCGAGCAGGCGAGCAGCATCCTACCCTTACAGTGAGGCCCAGCTCTACGGCCAGGGAGAAGGCCCTGTCTACTACGACTCACAGGTACCAATGTGTGCAGCGAACATGCAGCAGCTGCTGCCGCCTTTATTATTGGGAAGTTGCATCACGACACGATCGAGCTGTTTTATACAACGGTTCTCCAATCTTGTGAAGTGTCTTCCCACTCATTATGAGCATGGGGGGTATTATTGTTGTTCATCTCTGTTTATAGCGCTGATCAGTGGTGAACATGACTGGTATAGAGATGATAAGTTCAGGATTAGACGGTGAAAATACTTTCTGCAGTCGTGACAAGTTCAGTGGTATGGAGTCATCTTATTTGCAATGTTCTTCAAGGGTTTTTCTTTAATATATCTTTACTGCACAAGTCTACATTGTAAAATCAACTTGAGATTCACTTGAACATCAGAGTTTTGTCCCTAACATATGAGCCATGTTTATTTTTAGTGTTTAAAATGTGTTGTGGTTGTTTTCAATTGTGTACAATGCAATGTGAACCAAACATATTAAATTACCATAATTACATAATTGTGTATTGACTTGCTCTCTGTAAGTACTTAGTAAAATTTTTAATGTGCACCTCTTGCAAGGTTGGCATGTAAAACAACCTTTTCATCAAAGGGTAATTGTATAGCCACATTGTCTCCCTGCTCAAAAGAGCATCTTAGAGAGCTCATCTCTCTTAGCCGCCCTGAGCCAGTGGTGGTCATTCCGCATTCCTATGGTAGGACCACACTGTCCATAATACAACCACTGTTGGAATCCCACAAAATTATGATAGTCATATCGGTGATGCTGAAGGGATGATTATGATGGTGATATTGGGTTGAGTCCACCTTCAACCGAAATTTGATCTTGTGACTTTTGTACAACTGGCAGGTTCTAACCACAACCTAATCTTACCAGTGCATGGTAATGTTCCAATTCACAAGGCATGTAATGATTCTAGATCCATTGAGTGTAGACAATTATTACACTCGTGATGCGTGTGTTGTATTATAGGCGTAAGTATTAACTATTGTGTATATATATATACACAACTCGCAAGGGCTATACGTGTATTTGTGTGCCGTGGGAAGAGTGACTCATTTCGCCCCTGCCCCCCAGGGCCGTGTCACGACGCAGCTGGGTACCGTGGTCTCGTCGCATGGCCTCATGAGCACAGGCGGCAGTGGCGGCGGCAGTGAGATGGGAGCAATGGGGGTCGGCGGTGGGCAGGTGCTCACCGAGGCCGGGGGTGCGTACCTCATCCAGACGATGGACGGCTCGGGGCAGTCGCTGAGCCAGGCCACACGCGCCTCGCCTGCCACGGTGAGAGTCTGATGGGACGTTCCCGCTCGCGACGGAGGGGTCAGGAAAAATGACGCAGAAGCGCCAAAGTCGAGCCAGCAGATTTACTCATGGCTTTTGGGGTAACAAGAGGCACTGGTTCTGCCAAGCTGGTGTGTGCGAATAGTTCACCTGCTGTGCAAAGTTTGTTCAATACAATATCATGGTCTTTTTTTAGCCTTCACTGTAGTTAAAAAAATAAATGCTAGAGTGTTTCCCCTGCTCAAACAAAACATGGCAGTACTAGTCTATTGTCGGCGTTGAGCCAACCATTGGCGGAAGTTCCACATCGGCATGACAGGTGCCACCCTCTGTAAAACGACTACTGTTGGCATCCCGCAATGTTGCGTTACTTTTACTTTATTGACTCAAGTGGCTGAGTTGACCCCCCCCCCACTACGATTTTCATTGTATGGCTTTATGAGTTCAACACAATCATGTATGGCACTGCACCACCTGGCTGATCTGTAAGAAAGTCAGTCGGTAATTAAGCATGTCAAAAACTTGTACAGAAAGGCATATGAAATAGCTCCGAGGACAGTCCCCTTGTGCGCAGTGTCTTTGGTAATTCTTAAACGATTATTTTGGTGTTTCTGTGTCTTTTGCCTCTTGATCCTGTTACTGGCGAGTGTCGCATACATTTTTCGTTGAAGCCTGTTGCACACGACCACCTTTAACCGACGCTTGCCCTCTGAATCGCTTTTCGTTGTTTTATTTTAGCATTTTATAGCAAATATTACATAGAGTCGAATTAATGTTCTTGTAAAGTAATTTATCATTGTGAATATTGACAGAAGTCCACTTAACTCGTGCCTGCTGGTGGTTGTTTAACACGTTTCACTCACTTATTATTTTCCTGAGTGTGTATGGTGTATGTGCAGCTGTGACTTAATCAGTAAATGTGAATTGTTTAAAAGTCCTAATGTTGAAAGTCTTCGCACACTCATGAAAATAAAATTTGTGAATTACGCATTTAATACAATATTTGCCTGCTGCTTGCTTATAAATACTGTATTCAGCAAAACTGTGGTGAGCCTCTTAAGCACTTGCGATTCTATTGCCTCTTATTTTTTCTTTTATTTTTATCTTTTGAGTTTCCAGGCAGCGATTATTTTGCTCAATTAATTGGTCTCTTTGCTGACAAAGCACGTAGGCCCACAGCCCTTGTCCCTGGCTTTCTGAGCTGCCTGTGTGCCATCTCGCCATCAGATTGAGTTGACGTTTGAGACCCTGCAAAGCTCTGAGGGTTTCCCGAATCAGCAAAGTTCTCTGCTAAACCACCATGTAAGTGTCCACTTTCTCTCTAACCCCTTCTCTTTTTGCTCTGAGCCTTTCTGCACTCCTGTCCTTTTTTGGTTTTGCCGATTTTTTTGCATGCCACTTTACACTAGTATCTCTGCTTTGGATTGAAATGGCTTTTTTCGCAAACATGGCATCGCGCAGTCTCAAAATCTGTTGGAGGTTTTGCTGGTTTTTTTACATGTTAACTTGGTGGTGCCCATATATTCACCGCCATCTCGCCCTTTGAAAATCTGGTCATGATCCCCCGTGCAAAGCCAGTGTTAATACCGTGTATAAGCCAGGAGAGGTGGACATTGGCAGAAATTGGCAGAAATTGGCAGCTTCGTGGCTGTGGTTGACGGTGCACTGAGATCAACGATATGTTAATGTCTTATGTCGAGCGCTAAATCCCTGCCCGTCTTGCCATTTTAGTGGCAGTCCGTAAGCGATTGTGTAGCGGATGGTGGAACAGACTAAAATGCAACGTCAAATAGGACAGAAATGATGTGTCTTAATCGGTAGTGGGATAACAGGTGTGAGTAAAACTTCTCCACAGTCTGCCGGCTAGGCCCAATTCTTATCACATTCAACTAGAAATGGAGTTTCTCTTATGCTGTTTTGCCTGTTTGTTACACCTCATTGACCTTACTCGCACACGTGACATTGCATTCACAAATTACCTGAAAATAGAAAAAATTATCGGAGTGATTCAGGTGATGCTCATGTCGTACAATTTTATTTGTGCGACATCAGCAACAGTTGAAACGTGAATACAGCCTGATTTAATTAAGTACAATTTCAAGATGAAATACAGGGGCTGCGTTGGCTGCAGAAGCACAAACAGCAAATACTTTAAACTGAAAAGCACTGTCGTCAATGGTGCTTTCGCTCGGCATGTTAGCTTGTGACAATCTATCGTTCATTTATGAGGCAGAAGGATGACGAAGTGTTTTAATAATGGTGGTAAAGTATTTGTGGCCTGTCCTCCTTTTTATACGTTGACCGGTCATTGGTGTCAGAACCCAGATGCCCAAGTGTGTGTTTGCCCATGCTTTTCAAGGCACACAACTATCTGGGGATATTTCAAGAATGCACAGGAAATCCCATTTGAATGGCTCTAGTAGCCTAAAGTAATCACAATAAATTACAGTCATAAAACCAACACGTACAGTGAGTGGAGCCAACAGATAGTTGAAGTAAAATCGTGTGTTGGGTGGCAGTGTCATGTTAAAATATTCCCCGTGATGAGCTATTGCATTCATGGTTATCTCCAAATGAGGCAGGGTTAAATGGCTGTGGGATTTGTAAATAACAAAATCAAGGTGGGGGGGGGGGAAACACTACCAATAATATGCTGATATGGTGCTGGCATGGATTCCATGTGCCACAAGAGCCATTGCTGCTGTCACAGTCTGTCTTCGTCAAAGTTTTTTCAACGTTTGTTCCCACTATTGTAGTTTTCACGACGTTTCGGCCACAACGCAAGCAGTCGTCTTGTGGCCGAAACGTCGTGAGAATTATTTTATTATGTTTTATTTTTATTATTTTATTATTTCCCTTCTACGTGCCTTTACCGAAAGAACCAAGAAGATGAATCCCTGCAGTCACGAAAGCTTTAAATCGAAATTTATTGTAGTTTACCTGGATAGAGCAGTAGACGAGGCTAATATTGGCTGTGTCTCAAGAGGCTGCACCAAAATGTGCGAGTGCCTTCGTTCTCAAACACAAGCGAATTGTAGCCGCCTTGTGTCATGCCACATGCAGTGAAGTAGTAGTCGTAGACGTTTAATTATCACCAGGTAAGAGCCCATTGAAATCCGAAGTCTTGTCTTTCAAGGGAGGCCTGGTATGAGTTCAACAAAGGGGAAAATTTCAAAAGTATATACAAAATAACACAGAATAAAGACACTGTAAGAAACATTTTCATACACAATGAATGATTATAATAAACCTTATGGGGAAAAAATACAACTGGTAAAGGTTTCTTCAGTTTTGCCAACTTGGATATGTAATTTGTTTTTACGAATGCAAAAAAGAAAACATGCGTAAGCCTGTCACATGACAAGGGCTCGTCCGCTGTTCCTCGTAATGACGCATCCTTGTGTGTGTGCTCCCCGCCTCCCCCCCCCCTTCCACGCGCACCGGCACCGTCGGCCACAGGTGCAGTGGCTGATCGACAACTACGAGACGGCAGAGGGGGTGAGCCTTCCGCGCTGCACCCTCTACAACCACTACCTGCGTCACTGCCAGGAACAGAAGCTGGACCCCGTCAACGCAGCGTCCTTTGGCAAGCTCATCCGCTCCGTGTTCCTCGGCCTCCGCACGCGGCGCCTCGGCACCAGGTCTGGCGCCGTCGCAGGATGGTCGGGGGAGTGGGCAGCAGCAGGCAGTGTTGGGGGGGGGGGGGGAACGTACACGCATGTTGTCGCTTGTCAGATACGTACTCTGTAATGACTGGGCATGTAATGATTTGCACCGATTGCAATTTAGTAAATTGTTGTAATTTGGACTTGTGGTTGGAATCAATGATTGTATTTTTTGTCTCTTGGTATTGTGGTGAATGTAGCGCCACTCGTTGCTGTGCAAGGTTTATGCGAACCGATTACATGCACCCTCCATACGAATTGAAATTAATAGATTATTGCACCCACAATGTGCTACATGTATTCTGAGCATAATAATATACGAATCGATGCATCATTTGACACGTAGAAATCACTTCTTAAAATGAATCACAAGTTAGGGTTGTGATTCATTTTAAGAAGTGATTTCTGTTTTGGCTTGCTGTTTTTGTGAAAGTAGCATCTCTGGAGTGCGCTGATCTCACTTACCACTGTGTGCGCGTTGGCAGAGGCAACTCGAAGTACCACTACTATGGCATCCGCATCAAGGCATCATCCCCGCTCAACCGCATGCAAGATGACCACCAGCACGCGGCCCTGAGGCAGCAGCCGCTCATCCAGAAGCAGCGGTGCGGACCGTACTCACACCCACCTGCAACCATGGCCACAGCGCAAACAGGGACCTATACTGCTCACATGGAATGGGGAATATGATCCAATACATTTCAAGCACAGGGCCCACGGTCCACTGTAAGATGCACTAAAAGGTCCACGAAAGGTTGTATGGAACTATCCCAACTGCAACCCACTATTACAACTGCAACCCACTTATACGTTCCACTGCCAGTCATGTGGGACTAACACGGACAAGTCTCACACAGGTTCCACGGAGCTTGCATATAACTGGCTGCAGGTATCGATACAGGTCCATACAGCTCACATGGCACCGGCTAACCAGGACTGCCCATAGTGTGCCCAGTAGCAGAACTCGCCACAATGGTCACCACCGGTTCCATGGGACTGGGTCAAAAGTCCAACTCATGTAGTTCACAGAGGGCCCAGTACCGAGTTGACAAGGGATGGGCTGTGAGGCACAATTAAGATCCAGCACTTGACTCAATGTCCTCTACATATTATGTGGGTTGCAATTCCCTGATCTAAAAAAACAAATTAAACAGGTGTGAACAGTTAAGCATTTCTATTCTTTGGTTCTTTCGGTAAAGCCACGTAGATAGAAAAATCATAAAATAATATGAATTCTTGCAGTCACGAAAGCTTTAAGTCAAGAGTTAAACGTTTGTTTTATAAAAATAATCTTGTGGGATTATCTTCTTCTTCCACACGTTTGTCCCACTCATGTGGGGTCCGCTGACCTTGCCAACCTTCTTCACACTGCCCTGTCCTGCGCCATCTCACTTTCCGCTCCTCGGACCCATGTCCACATCGCCCCACCTCTTTTCTGCCTTCCTCTTGATATATTTCCTTCCACTTGCATCACTTGCACCTTCTGACCCACATCATTTTCCTGCTGTCCTCTCTGCATGACCGAACCACACCCACAGCCTTTTCTCTCTCATCTTCTCTGTGATTTCTACCACCTTGAGTGTTCCTCTCACTTATTTTTTGCTCACCCTATCCTTCCTTATTAAACCCGCCATCCACCTGCAACATCCTCATCTCTGTGACGGACTTAGTTTGGTCCTCCCTCCTTCTTGTGCCCCAGCACTCGGCCCCATACAACAGCACCGGCCTCACCACCGTCTTGTACTATACACTACACTATACACTATACTATACACTACACTATACACTACACTATACACTACACTATACACTACACTATACACTACTATACACTACACTATACACTACTATACACTACACTATACACTACACTATATACTACACTATATACTACACTATACACTACATTGTACACTACTATACACTACACTATACACTACACTATACACTACTGTACACTACACTATACACTACACTATATATTACACTATACACTACACTATACACTACACACTTTTCCCTTCAAACAAACTGGGACCCTCTTATCGCACACCACACCAGTCATCTTTTACCATTTTAGCCATCCAGTCCTTGTTCTTATTATCATTTCTCCTTCTCGTGATCCATCAGCACACATCGTTGCACCCAGGTACTTAAACTTGTTCGTCTTCATTAACTGGTCACTTCCAATTTGCAACCCTCCTGTATTATTTCCACTGAAATTTGCCACCATGAACTTAGTCTTTGTCCGACTGATCCTCAACCCATTCCCTTCAATATTTAATGAGCAAACTATCAACAAACCAGACTTGAGAAACAAGTAGTATACAAATGTTACAGGGACCTACACCATCTCGCTTTACATATTGATTTCTTAAATTGTTTGCTATGTGTCCAGTTAAAATCAAGTATTATGCCCACAATTAATGCACTGATTTAGTGCCTGGTCTTATTTTAAAAGTGGTGTGGTCACCCTGTGTTTCGTTGCACACAGTTTCAAGCCAACAGCAAAGGCGGACGGAGTGGGCGAGGCGCAGGGCGTGGGGCCGCATGGTTCGGCTGAGCAAGCTCTCGTCGCTCAAACCCAGCAGCACCAGCAGTTCCTAGGTAGAGTAACACCCCGGTGGTTTACGTCGGGGATGCGTTCCTGAAATAGGCGCGACGACGAATATCGAAGCGACGTCAATCAAAGCAATTTCCAGGGGTGGGTAGTGGAGGCGAAGGCCGAGGCCACGAATACAAATAGGACGGACGATGATGTCCGCGATGTAGGTGTGTGTTGAGCAGAGGTCGCAAACGGGTTTTGATTCCTTACTCGTACCCGGCCGCACCAGGGTCGCAAACGGGTACCTGTACCCGGCCGTACCCGTACCCGGCCGGGTACGGATAGGGTACGGGTATCGGGTACCTGATTGCGACTTCTGGGATGAAGCCATGTTGCAGGCGCGGTTGGGTTGATTCTAGGAACTTGAATTGTGAGAAGAGACAAGACGTTGGGAAATGAGTGACAAACAGTTACTCACCAGTGACTCACGGCCTACCCGGCCGCACCAGGGTCGCAAATGGGTACCCGTACCCGGCCAGGTACGGGTAACCGGGTTTCGGGTAGGGTACGGGTATCGGGTACCCGGTTGCGACCTCTGGTGTTGAGGCGATGCAAATCGGGCAGCGGTGTTAATAAAGTGATGACGTATTTGCGAAATGACGTGAAAGGGGAGACATAAATCGGGCTATTGCTGTACCAGACGATAATCGTAGAGAAGTAACATTTACTGTGATAATGTTAATAGCTGCAATTTAACGGTCATTGGTGCTACAATGCAGTATTGTATTGAATTAGTGGGGGAAACAAATACAAATTTCCATTTGAGTTGACTACTTTTAATATAAAATTCGAATAAAATTTAGAAACAAGTTGTGTATATTTAGCATTACAACAATGGTATTTATTTATCCTGGCAAGCTTCGCTGAGCCTGAAACCTTTTGAGGATGGTTCTGCATTCGAATGTTATGCCAAATATTTTTTAAGGTGTTATGCCAAATATTTTTTTATAAAGAATGTTTTATATGTGGAAGGAAAGTGTAGGGCCTGGAGAAGATCTACGTATACCAGGACATAACACCCAACGTCTACACAGAAGGGTTCCAGAACCCACTTTCTGTGCTATCATACTCCTGGCCACCTTGAAGCCTAATGGATTTGAGAATCTGATCAATTATGTGATCAACCAATCCTTGCTTTCAAAGCACAGGCACTCAATTTTAACTGCAGCCATTTCACCCCACGGAGTAGCGCTGTGTGCAAACTTCAGCCTGTGGGGGTCAGAGCCAAGGTTGCCTGTAGCTGTTGTTAGTTTTGTTGTGTTTTTTCTTTGGTTGTGACTCTTTGTGGCTGGCACCCTGCCCCCCACAGATGCGTCACGGGCACTGCCAGCGTTTGCAGAGGTGGAGTGGGGGGAAATCACCTTCCCGCCGGGTGTTTCCATTGAGCACGTGCGCACGCTGCAGACGCTCTACCGCGAGCATTGCGAGGTACAGCCCTGTGTGTCTATGTGTAGGGGAGTGGCAGTGCAGTGGTTTAGTGAGCTGTGCTACGAACTCGGCGGACCCAGGTTCGATTCCCGCGCACGGTAAACACCAGTGACAATTATCTGAACAGGTCCTGGGCCTCCCCTAGGTCGACTCGGCCTCAAATGAGTGCCTGGTACGGTGTGTAAACATCGCCACTTGGGAGGCAAGGCGACCGGGCATGGTGCTGGCCACCCATCCCCTCGTGTACCATTCTGGCCTTCATAGGTGCTCACTAACAACACTTGCCCCAAGTCTATTAAGACGATATGGGGGGATCTTTGTTACACGTATGTGTAGCCTCCTTGTCACTCCATCGTTAACTGTTCCCTCGTACGTTACTTGTTTCCTGCACCCCTGTTGAGGGCTCGAACTACCATACTGACGGTTTTGTGTCATCCTCGTTGTGTTCTCAACCACTACACTGCAGGTCAAAACACAAATGTTACTCCTTTGGTCCTTGAATCGCTCAACTTTGGAATTCCCTCCCATCATCTCTTCCCCATTTCTTAAAACTTTGCTCAAGTGGCTACTTACTATATCTTCAGCAGTGCTGTTTGTTGCTGGCCTTTTGGCATGTTCGATTCTTTGGGCCTGTGCTTGGCAATCATGACTCAAATATATATCTTTCTCTTTGTGTTGGTCAGTGCCCTGCCCTGTGAATCTAGGCCACCTGACTGATTTCTGGCCAAAGATGTGACTGTGGTATCCAAAGCTATTGTAGGGCCTCCCCAAAGTCGACTCAACTTTAAATAAGTACATGGTGTGGTGTGAAAACCATCAGCACTTGGGACACAAAGGCAGCCAGTCACAGATGTTGGCCACATCACTATCTTGCGTGTCGTGTTGAGCCTAATAATACGTGAGCGCTAACAGCACTTGACCCACAGTTTATAAAAGTATACACAAGGTGTCTTTGTGTGTGCGAGTGGAGATGAGCCATTGTTGCTGGTGTGCGCACCTGTAACTTCCAGTATATTTGAGGCCACGAGCAGTGAGTGAGATGAGTGTTGTGCCTTCCTCTTGCAGGCCATCTTGGACATCGTGGTGAACCTGCAGTTTGGGTTGATTGAGACCATATGGCAGACTTTCTGGAGGTACAGCCCTCCGGATGATGATGATACTAGCATGGACGTACAGCACAGGCAAGTTTTTGCTCATAGACACCATATATGATACGAAATCATGGGACCTCCTTTGCCAGTACCAAAATGTGAGAATAGGTTTTCTCCTTTTTTCTGGCAACACCAAATTGAAACCTTTTACAAGGAATCATGTCTGAATTAACCACAATACTTGTGGTGAAAATGCAAACAAAAAACGTACTCTGATAATATATGCATTGTCTTTGAAACTGACTGGTCCACACCAGAGACAGCTTTTTTTTTAGCCTAGTCTAAAGACGGTGTTAGACCAGAGGACGAGTATTGTGGTTAATGCAGACATGATTCCTTGTAAAAGGTTTCAGTGGGGTGTTTTAACATCTCAACACAGCTGTTTTGTTGCCAGAAAAAATGGGAAAACCTATTCTCATGATAATATGTTATACAAGGAAGCCTCGTTGGGTCTCGAGACTATATTTAGGGAGGTAATTGTAATGAAATGCTTGAAAATCGGAGTGCCTCAAGAAAACCCACCACACAAACACATCATACATGTCATTAGATAACATGCAAAGTTGTACACATGTAGGTTCCCATTTTGAGCACTGACATGTTGTGTAAGGCAGTGGCCGAAATAGATAAAGCCAGCAGCACTCTTATCGGAACCCATTCTATGGTGGGTGCATCTTTGTGTATGCTATGATGATGAATCAGAATATTTGATTTTGCAAAGTAGCAATATGATGAACTAAGTTAGAACCCAAATTTAACTAGGGTTTTGTGACGTGATTGGTGATCAGGCTGGGATTATCAACTTGCTGCACATTGACCTAGAATAATCATGGGTGTCTGAAACAAAGCATTCTAGCCCAAGATCTCAGTGGTGCCAGCTCAATGCTCTGACAGGTTAGTTTTCAGAGCCACTAAGCCATCTCAAATCAACCAAACTAATGATTTTTTTTTTTAGTGATTGGTTACTGAGCTGAGACCGTGAACTCACTATGTTTGAGAACTCTGTTTAATCGCCTGCAGACTGACACATGCTGTGGAGGACCAGACTGGATAGAAACCTGAGGGGGGACTAAACAATGCAGATGATAACGTGGCCTCGCTCAGCCAAGTATGCATATGTTAGAAGGTGAAGAAGATCGTGGGCAGCTAATACCAGCGCTCGAACCTAAGATCTGTGTGAAGCTGACTTTTAATGTCTCTTTAACAAGAGCCACTGGTGCTTTGTTTTTTTTTCTGCAGGGAGAATGGCTACGAGAAGCGGCTCCCAAAGGGGGCGCTGGCGACACTGTGCCGGTGGGAGCCGGTCATGAAGTGGATGCGGAGCTGTGACTACCTGCTGTACCAGGCACTGGTGGAGGTGCTCATCCCAGACGTGCTACGGCCCATCCCCAGTGAGTGCCGTTCACTCAATTTCCCCTCCCCACCCCTCCACTCGCCTGGGCCTGCTGTCGTGAGAGTTTTTTTTTTGCTGCTCCTGAAAATTAGTTGTACGATGAACAGTCCTGATTTTGTGGCATTGTCTGTGGAGTTGTTTTTGTTTGTTTCCAAAGTTGTGATGTCGCCTGAGAGTTTGTTGTGGCCCTTATTCGCAAACATTTTTTGTCAACTGTGGCATTTATTTACAGATTTGTGCTGTTGGTAAGCAAATGTGCAGACCGTTATCTCACAATATAATTTAGTGTTGCGAGATTGTGGTATTGCGCCAAGTCTCACGGTAAGGGTCCCGGTGCCAGCCCCTGCCCAGGGCAACATCCAGGAGAGCCACAAAGCATAACGTTTACAAATTATTACATTCATTATTTTCATTTTTTTTCAGTGTTAATGATGAATATAGATACATCCAAAAACAAAATGTATCTCATCTTGTAAATAATTACTAGATTTGAAGCTTTCGTGACTGCGAGGATTCATATTCATAGGTTTTTTTTTTTCGGTAAAGTCACGTAGGTAAAAACATCTAAATTAATGAAAATTAAATAAAATAAAACAAAAAATCACGACGTTTCGGAGGCAACACAAGTCTCCGTCATCAGGTGGGACCGTCACAGCTAATTCGGCTGTGACGGTCCCACCTGATGACGGAGACTTGTGTTGCCTCCGAAACGTCGTGATTTTTTGTTTTATTTTATTTTATTTTCATTAATTTTGATGTTTTTACCTACGTGACTTTACCGAAAAAAAAAACCTAAGAATATGAATCTTGTAAATACATATGCTGTGTGTCCTTGGATGACAGGCTCGAATTTGAAGCTTTGTCAGTAAAAAATGTATTCTTTAAAGTTACTTTAACATGATACCATCATCATACTTTAGTGACGTTGCAATAAAAGTATGACATTCAAACTACAGTGGCATCGCTGGAGCGTTAAGGTAGCATGCATAGTGGTGGAGGGTGGCGCAGCTATATTGAAACAAAACTCAAAACATAAACCTTCCACAGAAACATTAAATCTTGTGGTTTTTGTTTTTGTTTTCTGCACTGCTACGTTTTACACACATGAAGCCAACCTTTGTGGTGTTGTGAGGTTTTAAAAAAAAGTGATTTTGACGAAGGCTGGGCTGTTTGCTGCAGGTGCCTTGACACAAGCAATCCGGAATTTTGCCAAGAGCCTGGAGGGCTGGCTGGCCACGGCCCTGAGTGGGCTACCCCAAGAAGTCATACACGCCAAGGCAAGTGGGAGTCTAACCTAGACTAGCTTTTGCATTGTTTGGTGCAGCTGGTCCACCATCACAGACACAATTATTATTATAGAGATGTCCAACCAGGTTGTGCTGCTGTGATCAGAGCGCTGGACTCACAGTTGAAAAGTACAGGTTCAAATCTTGGTTGGGAGTTGACTTGCCCACGTAATTTTGGGCTTGATAAAAAGAGTATTCTTCTTCTTGGTTCTTTCGGTAAAGTCACGTAGAATGGAAATAATAAAATAATGAAAATAAACATAATAAATAATTCTCACGAAGTTTCGTGAGAATTATTTTATTATGTTTTATTTTCATTATTTTATTATTTCCATTCTATGTGACGTTTCGTGAGAATTATTTTATTATGTTTTATTTTCATTATTTTATTATTTCCATTCTACGTGACTTTACCGAAAGAACCAAGAAGATGAATCCCTGCAGTCACGAAAGCTTTAAATCGAAAAAAAAAGAGTTACTTCGTAGTAATTGTCCTATGGGAAGCCTACAGGAAGAGTAGCTTCCATCATGGCAACGTGGAATTTCCACCATTGCCTCGGGTCTGTTAACTTTGAAAGCTGCCCCATGCTCATTCAAACTGGGGATCCTTTGACCGTTTAATTCTTTATATTTTATGGAAACGCATCTATGTTTTAGGCCAAGGTTTTTTTAACTAAAATTGTTCTGGTGGGCCACAATGAAACTTAACGTGTGTTGGCGGGCCACTTGATGCCATGTGGCATATGTACAACCGTTATGACAACACGGTATCATGATATCGTGTCTGCATGAAACCACTCGCCTCTATTTCTTGGTTTCTGATCGCTTGTTTATCTTATGCTCACCTCGCTAATATTTCATTTGTGAACAGCTCTCATCTCTACCTCTTGTTTAGCTTGCATTCATGTCACTCATGTATCGCTTTATGTCTTGGTGAACCATATCTCTCGGCGGGCCAATAGTTCTTAGGGCCACTTCAAGAGCCTTTAAGTCACATCTGTCCCACGTGCTGCCAGTTGACGAACCCTGCTTTAGGGTGCACCTTTTCCCCCCTTACTTAAAAACACTCCATCCTTAAAGTTGCACATTCCTTAACAATAATACCCTTCATGTGCAGTTTCTCCCATGGCCGACTCTCAGAGACAGCCTTCATGACTGTAAAATAGTAGTCCACCTTCTCGGGGCAATGAAGAGCACAGAGAGCTGTGTACACACACACACGTCATTCTTGTGGGTGTCACAGCAAATTGGCTACCTCCTCCTTATGGCCATAACAAAGGGGGTTCATGTCACGTCAGAGCACTGAGGCCCTGCACCCCCTGAGGATTTGGCTTGAAATCTGGGTCTCGACCAAGCGTTCTAAAATGGTGCTCTCAAGTGTAATGAGGTGGTGGCCTCATGAGAACCTGGGTTTCAGCCACTGGCGATTAAACTGGGTTTTCCACTATCATGAGTCTATAATTTCACCTGGATATACAATTGTTGCTCTCAGAATAAAACTCTATATCGTTGCATTGCTATTGCGAGAAGATGCACAGCTCGTGAACACCAGCGGAAATTGAAGGGAACTCGGGAAGTAAGCGTGTGATGTTATTTCTAGATTTGAAGCTTCCGTGACTGCAAGGATTCATACTCTTTGGTTTTTTTGGTAAAGTCACGTAGGTGAAAACAATCAATAAAATAAAATAAATGAAAATAAATCAATTAAATCACGACATTTCGGAGGCAACACAAGCTTCCTTCATCAGGTGTACAAAAGGCACAGCTACAGTTATTTTGCTGTGTCTTTGTTACACCTGATGAAGGAAGCTTCTGTTGCCTCCGAAACGTCGTGATTTTATTTAGTTTTCATTTATTTTATTTTATTGACTGTTTTCACCTCCGTGACTTTACCGAAAAAACCAAAGAGTGTGCTGTTATCTTCTCGAGGCTGATGTTGCATCACTTTGTGCAAGCCTGATTGTAAATATCCTCTTGTGACAATATGATGCCAATAGTAATATCGGCAAAATAATTTGGGGAAAAAAGATTTCAAAGATTGCCGTAATAATCGTGATTGCCATATGTGGAACAGGTGGCGGCGGTGAGTGCCTTCGCTCAGACACTGCGGCGCTACACGTCGCTTAACCACCTGGCGCAAGCGGCACGGGCTGTTCTTCAGAACACTTCGCAGATCAACCAGATGCTCAACGACCTCAATCGTGTCGACTTTGCCAACGTGCAGGTGCCTGCCACGCCCGCGCATTTACAAAGTCCTGCCACGACATTTGCTGGCGCTACAAAGCGAAATGCTGCTGCCGCCAGCAGCAACGATACGGAACATATACGGTGTGTACATTAGGTTGTACAGAGGAGAAAGGTAGTAGAGACAAGACAAGAGAAAAGGTGTTCACTCCTGTCTTAGAATCGTAAAATGTCATTGGATTGTGGTAGCAGAGACCTGCATTGTTACACGTCCAGGATGTGTTAGTCATTGAGAAACACTTTAGATTTTTTTTTTATGTCGGTACCTCCCTCAATCCCATCAATTTCCAGTCCATATATCGCACCATCTGCCGCTGCAGGGAAGAGTCGACGGAACAGAACATCTTTCGATTTAAAGCTTTCGTGACTGCAGGGATTCATCTTCTTGGTTCTTTCGGTAAAGTCGCGTAGAAGGGAAATAATAAAATAAAAATAATAAAACATAATAAAATAAAATTCTCACGACGTTTCGGCCACAACGCAAGCAGCCATCCTCAGGTGAAGAACAGGGATGTCGGACAGACAGCGTCATTTGGACGCCGTGACTTTACCGAAAGAACCAAAAAGACAGAACATCTTTGTTTCAGAAGAGGGTAACCTAGGCTCGTGGCGAACCAAAATTCTGGCATTGCTTCTGTGCTCTAACCGTGTAGTGTAAGAGGAGTGTATAAGCTTTAACGCATTGTATATGCTTCTTTTTGTAGGCTGTTTACATTAAAGGTGATAGTTTTTTAGGCCTGTGAACAATACAACATTTACGTTTCCAGCAGGGCAGTTTTATTAATGGGGAATGGTTATTACATTTATTTAATTCGTTTATTAAATACTACTTTTCAGTACCATGAAATAAATTTTTTGCAAAGCGGAGGCAAATTACAGAGATGCATTTCGGTGCACAGATGTGGGGCAGGGTTAAGTGTTGTGAGAAGTAAATAATGAGTGAGTAGATATGGACACTAAATATACAAATACATACCGTATGAATGATGTTAATTATTTACGAAGAAAATAACTTAGTCTGAGTACTCTTTTTAGAGAGGATCTGCATTAGGATGTTTGGCTAATTAAGATTAATTGGTGTATGCTATTGGTGAAGAAGCAGGGAAAACCGGAGAAAGCTCGCACATATAAGGGGTTAATAATAATCAAAGTGTTGCATAGCTCAATTCCGTTCACTGAGAGATCCATTAATCATACAGGTTTCTTGGGATGGATCATGTAAATATATCAATGTGTCGTTAAACCCGCCACCACCTGACACAGCCAATTATTAATGTTTGTCACGTAAACAGAACATGCCAATTCGTTACTAGTACAGCACACCGGTGTGTTGGAGAGTAAACCTACAACATTTACAAGATCCGTCAACTTCAACTGCCCATTGCTGTACTGCCATCTCCTGGTCATCTTGCAGCCTGCAGCCTCATTCCTCCAAAATCCATTCAAGCAGTAACCAGGTCAGCTCTCTCCTTAGCTTCTGAGATCTCATGAGATCAGCCATATTCAGGGCAATTTTGTCATAGGCATTCATTCAAAGTTTAACGTAAATCACTAGACATTGGTGAATGTTTTGTTAATATGTCATAAATATGCACAGCAAAAGGAAACCGTGAAAAGTAATTTTTTAAGGAACTTCATGTCCAGTTGAGCGGAAGCTCAAATAAAATAAAAACTCGCCATGTTTGTGGCCCTTACTGTTCGACAAGAGACCGTCTCCCACTATTGATATTCTAAACTGAGTGCCATACTGTTCGTAGACAGATAAGGCACTCGAACGTGCATTCCTTTGAATTGCACAACGTGTTTGATCTGATATCGACTCACGGGAGGAGTCCTCTCCAAGTTGGGTTTGACGCGGGGACAGGGAGGAAACACCACTGCGGAGGCAACAGCGGCTCGCTTGTGGGGCTGTTTATTTTAAGAAGCACTCTCACGCTGGGCGGTAACGGCACACTCTGTGTTTCGCAAGCTCGCACGTGCGTGCGTGTGCACGTTTCTAGCCCCCGTTTGTGTTCTGCCGCCTTGAATGCTCTTTCGTGAGCAGATTTGGTGATTCTGCGCTCGTCTTGCGCGCACAAGTGCGTTTGCGCGCGTGTGCTTGTGCATGTGTGTACGTGTGCGTATGTAAGAATGCAAGTTTGACTTTGGTGTGCACCAGGAGTGCAGATCTGCTTTTTTTGGCAATCGTTCTGGAATTCTACTCGGATACTCTAGAGGAGGCTCATAAAACATTCCCGGAATAATAAAGTCCCTCTGCGCATGCGCACCTGTTCCGAGCTGGTGACGGGGTGGAAACTTTTGGGGCTATTTTCGATGCTTGAAGCTGCCCAAATGGCCGACAAAGCAGTGTGCATTCCTCCATCTGTCTTTTGCAGTGCTCTCTTTCCACAGTTATTTTATTAAATGCTATATATATATTTTTTTAAACATCTGAGTTGTGGGAGTTTAGATAAGAGAGCCAGAACAAAATCTATTTGGCACTCGGAAATTGGGGCATTGTGGCAAAGGAGTCGACAGAAAGAGATCGCTTGTAGAATAGAGGCGAGGGATTGGAGATTGTGCATTATTAGATCCAAACAAATGTAATCCTCCCTGTAGTGAATCTTGAACATCCATTATAATGCATAATGGTGACTGATGAAGACTATGATCCGCTTACGTGGTTAATATCTCGTTTATTCATATATAGGCTGGCGTTGTGTTCACATTCCAAGCCACATCGCGTGTGTTCATCCATTACAATTGTTATCGTGCCTTGTGAATTTGGCCATGCCCACATCCGCCGGTTGGCACTGGCGCTCCGGCACTGATGGCGTGGAGGCCGTCGCTCGACAGCTGGCGGCCCCGTGGGTGGGTGGGTGGGCAGGCGGTGGCCGCACACCCAGTACACAGTGCACAGTGTGGCTTGTTAGCTCGCGCCTTTGTGCATTCACACACGTTCGACAAAGGGCGTCAGTGTGCGTGTACATGTTTTCGCGAAGCGTATTGCGGCCCTGTGCAGCGTCTGTTGAGGCTTTGCTGTGTGTCGCAGTGTGGCACGGGCAACGGATACTCTTGGCTTTTAGCATGGGTGGGTGCTCGAGTGAAGATCGGGTCAGAACTGTGCAGCCCTTGGGTATCGGAATGTTTTGTGTGGTCAAAATTTATGGATTTTTAATATGAAGAGGATATTATGGCCAGTACAGTTGAATGCCGCCTCACCATCACTTCCCTATTTCTTCCAAATTTTGTTATGTTTTACACAGTAGAAATCTGTCTTCCTGAGTTCTGCTGTTAGTTTCATCACCGCCATCTGGTCATCGGTATTCCCCTTGATCACCAGATTTTGGGTTCCCACAACATTGCCTGTGCCAGCAAACGATAACCCTCCTAAAAATGAAATGTGAGGCTAACAAATTTTTCACGCTTGTAAAATTAGTTCATGTTTAGTAAATTGTATTTGAAGGGAGATGACACAAAAAAAAGCATGGTTGAAGAATCATTAACGAAAATAAGACTTGTGAGTTTACCTTCACTGTAGGTCAAACTGATGTCAGAGCATAGATATTTATATCCGATCAATGTGATTGTCCACTAGTGTTGTTCAAAAACGGCATGTGCAGAGCGTAGGAACTCAGGAGTCGTCCACCGATAAAGGATGTACAGTTGCTGTGTGGAGCAGTAGAGTGCTGTCACATGTTGGGCTGAAACAATTTAATTCTGAAGCTAGCCTGGATACGCGCTGTTTTGTTTTGTTACTCCTTCTATTAATCAGGAAATCTTGCAGTGGGCGAGGCGTTATGGCACATACACCTATGGTCTATTCCTTTGAAGATAAGGGGTGGATCATGCAGATTTATTTGCCTCCCAAATCTGTTGGGTTGCATAGTGGCCAAGAGCAGGCAGCACAGATATTGGATGCGTGAACCCATCTCTGCGGACCTCAGAGTGAGTGTCATTCCCTTGTATGCATGGGTGGTTATTCTGGGTACTGTGGTTTCTATCCACATGCGAAATGTTCCTTCGTGAATAGCTCTCCATTGTGTTTTTGTGCTGCACCGTGTTATTGGCATATCTGACTTTTTGCTCCAATTTCTGAGAGCTTGGAAGTACTGGGAGCGAAACGTCGGACATTACAACCTAAAAAGACTTGAGGTTTCCAGCACAACTGTGAAAACCTTCACATTACTCGTCCTGAGTGGAACTGATCAAACGTCCAAATGTAATATCCTCAATGAGGAGTCTGAAGAAACATTAAGGCTCTCTTGTATTAAAAAATACAAGAAAAATATATTCTTGGGGTACACGCCAAATTAGGTGACATGATTATCCATAGACGAGGGTAGATCGTATCACTTATATATTGTGTTTTTCCAGTAATTCCTCAACTGAGTCTCATGACTCATTTTCAGAATAATCCAGCCAAGTTTTCACCGACACAATAGCCTACCCATTTCAGATGACGTCACACGATCTCTTGACGTCCACCGTGGAGCAGACGGCGTGTATTAACAAGGACTGCATACCGGATTCGAACCGCGAACCTCTCCAATCAGCAAGGAATGCGCTTCCAACGGGCCGCGTTACCGCTGGGGCCGTCTTTACACCCTGTGCGTGTCTCTTGCGTGCAGGAGCAAGCGTCGTGGGTGTGCCAGTGCGAGGAGGGCGTGGTAACGCGACTGGAGCAGGACTTCAAGGTGACACTGCAGCAGCAAAACTCACTGGAGCAGTGGGCTGTGTGGCTGGACGAGGTGGTCACCACCGTGCTCAAACCACACGAGGGCAGCGCCAGCTACGCCAAGGCCGCGCGCCAGTTCCTGCTGAAGTGGTCCTTCTACAGGTGAGTGTGGTTCTTGTACGGGTCACCAATGACCGGCCAAAAAAACGCCACCACAATAAAATTGGTTCTGCACTTGGGATAAGTATCTTTTGCCCGTAGAATAAAAAATATATCTGTTTGTTATTTTCAAGCGCGGAGTGTGTAAGAACGCGCATCCCTCTTAGGTGGACCAGATCACTTGTAGGGTATTAAGAGGTTGCTCTGTGATATCCACTCTGTTGACGGTTATCAAATACGAAGGGCTGCACTACTCTTGAGGGATCCAAATGGATACTTCATCTCATGACATGACATGGGCAGCACAATTGGAATAAAATTGGCAGAAAATCGTATGTATTGTTAACTCCTGCCTATCCTTTACTCTGGTTATTTTTACGTTGTTGGTCACTATGCTGGCCATTATACGCATCCGTCTGGTACTTGGCACCAGGAGTGAAAAAACAAACTTTACTTCTGATGAAAAATCTAATACTTGTAGATTAACCTGGTATCTGTGTGTTTGTTGCACAGTTCGATGGTGATCCGAGACTTGACCCTACGCAGCGCGGCCAGCTTTGGCTCCTTCCACCTCATCCGCCTGCTCTACGACGAGTACATGTTCTACTTGGTGGAGCAGCGGGTGGCACGGGCGCGCGGGGAGACGCCCATCGCCGTCATGGGCGAGGTGAACACCGTTGGAGTGACCGATTACCACTCGTACACGCACACGTGACCTCGTGGTGGTCCAGTTGTTCCCGAAACGTCATAAACCAGGCGTGGCGAATCTATGGCTCACGGGCCGAATACGTCTCGCGACTTAATTTCGTGTGGCCACAGGAGGCCTTCCGCTTCGGAATGGTCCACTAACGATATTTTACCATCAGTGCAAGCATCTCAGCTGCCCATACTGGGCATCTGTGAAAAAAAGAGATTCATAGCTTATCAGATTCCTCCAGTCTAAATAAAGATTTTGAATATGATATTTTCGGTCTGGATACACTGTGTTTCTAATTTTAGAAAGGTATTCTCACTTCTGCCACTGCAAGAGGCCCTTGCAAATAAGTTGTATATCTTGTGGTAGTGCTGGCGAGACTGACTGGCTCAGTCGTGGAGACTAATCATGGAGTAAACATGCCTGAGAGGGCATCCACTGTGGAGATGAGGTGATGGCATAAATTCACGAGCGAGTCAGTCTGGCATGGCCAAACTGTGAGAGGTAGCGATCATGACTTAACGATGATAGTTGATGAGAGAAGTTCACTTAACTGGTAATAGCAGGCATCATTGAAAATTTTATCCTGTGGAATAGTTGCCAAGAGTAGGCCACGGAACGACACTGCAATAGCACAAATTGCAAGCCTGACACTGAAATTACAGCTTTTTTACAAATGTTTATTTTTAGAATACTTCTAAAAAGCAATTTTTTTCATCAATGCGAAATAAAAGAAAGCCTTGTAAAGTTCCCAAGTGCTTCTTACAAAAGTGATGCTTTTATCTCAGTCCATTCTCACTTATTTCTGTATATTGGAGAATAACAAGGGCTGAGAAAAGGCAGCAGTGAAGCGGAGCATGTGTCTAGAGGTAATGCTGTTTGTCTGCTAATCACTGCTGTGTGGCATGTGCATATATAAGCTAACAGTGTTTCTTTTTGGGTTTGTATTTCAGTTTGCTGACCTGGGATCAGGATTCTTGTCCTTGAATGGGATAAAAGGTAATACTGCAGCCATGGCAGGAACTATTGTTTGGTTTAGTTATTCTTATTTTGAGTCAAGAAATAGAAGGAAGGTATCTATTTTCTTTAGAGGAACAGACATTGCGTGTTTTTCTTTTAGACTGCAGTAAAGAGACAACTCGTGTTTTCACAGTGGCTTAATGCCGCTCGTGAACTCAACAGTAAGCTAATAGCTTATGATTTACTTAACCAATAGTGCTCAGGGCTGAGTTGAAAACGGTTATAATGTGAAGAGAATTCCCACGCGCCGCAAATTGTGTAGAGTTTTAAAAGCTTATATTGTCATCAATATGAGTCTCCTTTGTTTAATTGAAATCCTGCAAAAGGCTTTGGAGGGTGTATGCGGACGATGCTTGAATTTCATGACCGGATAGGTCAGTAACTTGAAAGTTAAGAATGAAATGTGGCAGGAATTAATTATAGACATAATCAGTATGAGGACGTTTTGATGTATTGTAACGTGTGGAGAACAGAGGGCAGATTACCCGAGACATGCATTAAAGTGGCACCGATGGTCAATGGCCAAGGGAAAACCTAAAGCAGCAGGGTGGTTGTAGACTCAGGGGTGTCCTTGAAAGATGTGTAAACTGTATGATGGCTGTGTACCAAAGAGAAGACCTAAATCCAAATGTTAGCAAAGAAAATGCGCAAACAGATTTTGGAATATCTGGTACGAGCCGTGCATCATTCGCAATCTGGCATGAGGCAGGAAGCAAACGGCGATTACATTTCGATCTTGAAATGTTTGAAATGCAATCGCTGACTAGCCTGGCAAAGGAAAGACACTTAAACCTTCCCGCCCTGCCTTCCCTCTCCCCAACATGTGATACGTGTGTTCCACCCTCTCCCCAACCCGGTGTTCCCTCACGCAGACCGAGAGGCCAGCCAGAGGGACTCATGGGACGAGGTGTCGGTGGAGTCGGGTGAACCGGCACCCAAACTGACTCGCACGGAGCTTAAGTAGGAGATGGAAAAAACGAGCGAGAGAAAGAGGCAGGGGAAAGGTGCGGACAAAGACGGCGGCTCGGAGGACGAGAGTTTATCCAGCGTGGCTGCGACCCAACGCTACGTGTTGTGTGTCTGTGGAAAGGGCAGTGGGTTGAAGTTGCCCGCTGCAGCTGCTGTTGGTGGTGGTGGTGTACAAAACCTAGACCGCGGCGAAATTCTTTGTGGCATAAGTAGCGTGGGCTGATGACTGCTGAACGTGTACAGTGCTGAATATTGCAGATGTTTATTTCGCTTGCTCTATTCATTTTTTATTCATGTATTTTTTAACACAGCCTCTTGTTATCAACATATTTTTTAAAAGATATTTAATTCTATTGAAGGCTGGCGTCCTTGTAACTCAAATGTTAGAGATCAATGTAAATGTTTGAAGTGTGAGTTTGTGCAGAGTGAGCGATCGGGAGCCGAGGGTGGTGGTAAATGTTGTGGATTATGTAGACAGCAGAATGTCTACAGAAATGGCAAGTGCATGAACACACGCACCATTCGCCACTTCATCCCTGATTAAGTTGGTTTGTAAAACTTACGAATGGTGACAGTCACTGTGTTTCCCCTTACAATATTACAAAAACATGGTAATTTTGTACAGATTTAACTGTGGATGAATCGCAGGTGTTTCTCCTGCCAGTTTTGAGTCAATTATATTTTGATGTGGCGTTGTCAATTCAATTAACCGTGTAAATGCGAACGTGTCCTTTGTCTCATTATTCTTTTGACTGGTGCCTGTAAAGCAGCATCGGCCGCCCCGGTGAATGCTCGCTACATTTGCTTATGCAACACTTGTGTGCCAACGTGGACAGCTCGTATAAACCCTCGTTTCCTTTTCACAAAGACGCGATGGGCACATTTGCCGTCTCCGAGCGACCGACGTATCGACAAGATTCTTGGGACGCTCTATCGCATCGAACACGCTCCGATCGGCAGCACAAAATGGACACAGTTGTAAGAGCCGATCGATCGCCACACGACACATTGGGCCTTTTATGTTGCATTTGGGACGTCCTTCATCCTTCACAGCCGGCCCCATTAGGCAGCTTGCTGGAGAGTGTACTGACTAAGTCGGTGCTGGTCTCTCGTAAATTACCAACCGAAGGGTTTCATTGTGGTAGCAGTGTGAGGAATAGGTTGCGTGGCATATTCGGCCATCCTGAGCAGGCTTCTGTCCAGGTGTGGGACTAAGAGGATAGAAAGTACATGCCTGGATTCTCAAGGCCACTAATTATACTTTAGCCACCATGGTCTTAGCCTTGTTAAAGCTGTCAATCTGACCACACAGCAGGGAGGTGTTGATGCTGTCTGGTCAGTCTGGTGTTTGTAAGGGAAAGGTGGGTTTGGTGTACGTGTAAGTTCGTGCTCGGCGACACATCACGTGCACATTACAATTTGACGTTTAGCTTGACAAATTGTACCTTGCCCTGACACGCTATAAATATCAGACTGGTTTGGCATCTTTGCAATTGAGCCACGTTGAAAGCTGCCACGGAAGTTATTGATCTTGGAGTGGAAAATAAACGTGCAAATGCTGCCTTTGTTTGATGCAGTGGGGGGAGAAATAAAAAAAAACAGCCAGAACTTGCATCACTCCTTTTGTGTCAGTTTATTGAGACTAGATCATTAAATGATAAACGCCAAGATGCCGTACCAGTAGACCAATAGCTGTGATGGAAGAAACACTCGTAATCCTGTATTGTGTATTTACAGCATCATTCATAGCCACCAGACGAGAAAAGGCAGGTGTGGCTTTTAATATATATCAAAACTGTTAAGCACACTTGGCTACTCTATAGTTTAACCATTATAAGGTGTCATACTAATTTAAATCAAGATATTCTTGGGCAGTCCTATATTGGCAAGTTTTAATTACTAAGTTTTTTTTTCACGCAAGAGGAAACTAGGATATCTGGAAAAAAAATCCACCATGTTAGATGACACGATTCGCTCCTGTGAACATCTATCGTGTCACTACCAACTTCCCCCTCCCCCAGGTCCATACCGACCTTTTTCTTGCGTTTGTGAGAGCAAGTGGAGTCTTGTCGGCAGAAGAAACATGTGAATGAGACGTCAAAAGTCGTTGTGAACAAAGGGGGCTGTTGATGGGAAAATATTGGAGGAGTCCAGTGAACTGTTTTTTTTTATCGGGCTGTGTTGGCAAAGTGCAGCTTTTGTGGACAGGTCACAATTTGGCATTACTGATGTTTGCAAAACAGGCGTTCAGATATTCTACTTTGTTTAATAGAAAGGGAGTTGTGTTGCCTCTTAGGTTGGGTGGCATTTAGAGGTGACTGTTAAAACAACTTTTACTGTGGCATTGACGTTGCAACTCCCGGCAATGCGTTGCATCTCAAGTGACAGCAGCTGCTGCTACTATGAAGTTGGCCCACGCTGACGGTTGTGTTAGTAGCTGCTCCGGCATGTCGCTTTGTTGGCATTTTTCGGGGTGAAATCGCGATCGTGGGGAGTGGAGCTTGCGCAAACAGTGGGGCGTAATGAAGCAGATATAAGGTCGTCGTGAGTTAATTTTGGTTGTATTGCCTTTTTGTTTCTTGACAAAGTCCGTTTTGCGTTACGGTTTTTTTTTTTTATCCAGGCAGGTGCTTAGACATTTGTGTGTGTGTGCTCATGGCCAGCTCCGGTTTGGCAGCAGAGGTCTCACTCCGAAATATTCGAGCGGCATTATCTTTTATCGTTACCTGGTCTGTCACTCCACACAACGCTTTGAGTCTTCTCGGCCACAATTATGCCCTCCCTTCTCTATGCTTGCGTAATGTGGACCCCTCTGAAGGAACATCTGCACTGGTTTGAAACATTCAGACTGGCCTGTCTACGATCCAACCTGGGTTTCACCAGGATGGATTGTGTGAGGAGCTCACGAATCCTGGAAAGATTTGGACACATTCCCATTGGTGAGCTCCAGGAGGCAACGCTACGTTGGCTGAGTCATGTAGCCCACATGCCCAGCCACCGCATGCCCAAGCAGCTTTTGTGGCCAGAGAGAGGGGCTAAATTGGCACTGCACGGGCTCGAGAAGAGATGGTCTTATGCGGTACAGGAGTACGTGGAGCTGAGTGAACTTGCCGAAGACTGGTACCAGCGGTATCAAGATCGACCTCTATGGAGGAGGCTCGTGAAAGACGCTATTGGGCAGTTAGTGGCATTCGCCCTCCAACAACAGCGAAGGGCAGAGGGGTGACGCATACAAGTGGATAGCCGAGTGGCTAAAATGCAGCACGTTGCCACAGTAGGCAGCACAGGTAGTGCATCTGCCAGTCATCTCGGTCAACCAATGGCACCTGGGTCTGTCCCATGAACTGCAAGCGAGCCTTTGACACTTCACGTGGCCTCAAAGTGCACCTGGCCTGGCACAAGCGCCATGGTGATGTCGCTGCCACTTAGTGGCGAATGGCGGCTGCTTTTTGTTTAAAATTTATCCCACAAAACTAGCATAACATTTTGGCACATAATTGTAATTAAATGACCCGCACAATGTATTTTCATTAACTCAATATTTGAATGTCAAGTATGGGGACTCATTCTTGTCATTCCATAAAATAGGTTCCCTCAATACTTTTTGTACAGGGGGGTTTTAAAAATGTATGACGTGAATATACAGCACAGCTGTAAATGTGGATTAAAATATTTTTTCATAAATGCTTGTGTGATTCGGCATTTTAGAGGCAGTTGTGCATGATCAGGGTTAGGAAATAGGTGGGATGGTTAACTGTCTGTACTGTAATATACACTGGAATTATGGTATTTTCGTATGCTTTAGTCAAACTTTATATGTCGTGTCGAAGACGCTAGTAAGCCGCGAAGGCGGTGCGCGTCTGGAAACCTTTCTTGCATCGGAAAATGTAGGATCTAACAAGAACACCAAATACTGTGTCTTGACGGAAGACTTTGAGATGCATTTGCAGCCAGCGGCCACGTTAATACCCTCAGCTTGATTAAACAACCTAAATGCATGGCGGTTCGGTTTGGTGGAGAGCTGTAGATTTATATATTACGTGTGCGGAGATATTTTACAAACGTTTGACAAATTTTCTAAAATGTTTATTTTATGTAGTTGGAAGTAATTGCATACAACGTGTTGGAAACTGTAAATATATAAAACTCGTAAATGTGGTGTTGGCTTTGAAGTGTTTTTTGCAGGAGGGGACCGGGCGGGTTGGGTTGTCTGTGCTAGTTTACACGTGAATTGTAAAAAAAAGTAGAGTTTCTGCACTTGTGTTTAGTGTACATTTTTATATAATGAATTCGATAGACTTTGGGACTGAAACATGCTTTTGCTGTAGTAACGACAATAACATTTAAGATGACGACGACGACGACATTATGAGCGTTTTATGAGCGGTCACATCCCTGCCTTTCAGTGCCTTGCAACAAGCCTAAAATAGATAAGCGACACACCAAGTGTCTTAAACAGAAAACCAACCTCGTGCCTTGTTTAAGTATCACTCCCCCCGCTGATTCCTGCAATTCTCATTTCGACAATATCTTAACCGGTAGTTGGTGTCGCTCAGAGACGCCACCCGAAATACAAACGGCTCTAATTTTGTTGTTATGCACACAGCCTGTGTGTCATTTGATTGCCCCAAACGAGTTTTAAGGTTTCGTTAATGGGGAAACATAATTTGATCGCGCGTTCAGACCGGCTCAAGTGATGTCTGCCGTACTTTATACGTCCAATGCAATAAAGCATCAAACTTGTGTGGGACAACCTGGGACATGCGCAGCTTAGATGTTTTGAATACAAGGCGAGACCCGTTTGCTTTTCAGGGTGTGTCATCAATCGAGAGTAGTGCGGGTCTGCACAGGGAAGACGTGTGTGGCCAATACTGCGAGGGTTCCATTTGCATTCATGTTGTTTCCTTACAGGAACCCTCGAAGCACTGAGCTGCACTTGCAGCCGGCCGTGTGATTCCGTGCTGTGCGTCGCAGGAAAATAGGTCTGCAACCAGGGGGGGGGGGGGGGGGTGGCAAATCGAGGGGACTCGTGATAATCCAATCTGATGCGATTCGAAAATAACCAACCCCGGCCATAAATGCAGCCTTGGCTTCAATTAACCCCGTGGTCTATTGCATTTAAAATACTTAAATAAGTGATCTTATTGTGTTTCGGTCATTGTTACAAGATATAGGGAACGTGTTTCTGGCGGCGGCATTTGCAGCTCAGTGTTCTCGGGAATCATTCTGCAACGGCACATGGTAATAATGCAAATGGAAATGTTAAATTCATGACAATACGTATAGTTATGAAGTTGTGTGCTTAATGTCATTTTTTTAGACGCAGCTGTTAAGAAGCTTACATGCTCTCACCAGTACTCGCACGTAATTGGCTGGAATCCATCTGAGTCGTTCACTATCGTATGAGTGGCAAAGTAAGGACTGATTGTAAAGTGTGGTTATAATTAGAGATGTAATGATTCACTCCACCTACAATGCATTGTCACAATTCAAATGAATTAATGATTCCCATTGTGTTAGATGGAACAGATATTGTATAAAATCTATAAATGTTTATGAATCACAAATGATAAACTCACGCACAATGCAATGTATGTATCGCTCCCGAAATATTTAAATCAGTTAATCGTTACATCTTTACTCATAACGCGATTTCACGGAGCAAGCAGCCCGGCGATTTGAAGGGAATTCCAACTACTGTGCAGACTCATATCCTCAAACAAATGCAATAAAAGATGTTTCTCAGTCGCATAAGCTCCGGGCAGATGTAGCGGCTGTGAGCACTAAAGGTGAAGAGCGAACAAAATGTGAAAAGGGGCCAAATTGGGGGCGATCGTGGGGAGGAGCACACTGGCCATTCGAACACTAGCCCTGCCCCTAACCCGAGCCAACTGGCCCATAACCCTGTCCAGAACCATAGTTTCCAACCAGGTCGTAGCCCGAACCTTAACCACACCAGCCAACCGAACCCTTGGGCTACCTTTAACCCTCACCACACCAGTCAACCAAATCCTTTCCCCCTACCTCTATATACTTAGACTATTCAACCGGATCGATCCCTCCTCCAAACTACATTAGCCAACTCAGACACTTAAGACCGGTCCCCCAGCCCTAACCGTAATCAGACCCTAAAGACTCGCCCAAACCCCTTAACGCAGTGGTTCTTAACCTGGGGTGAATGCATCTCATGGGGGTGCGAGATGCCCTTTCTGAGAAGCTAAGGGGGGTGTAGGCTGCACTGAAGGTTAATAACCACTGCCTTAACACAACCTAGCCTCCTTTTCACTTTTTGTTCAATTTTCAGTTTAGCCATTTGAGATGGCTGTTTTGAAACTAAACAAAGTTGACCTCACGTTTATATTATGTAAAGTGTGCTCCGTTGTGTGGCTGTACATGTGTTTGTCTCCAATAATAAGTCGTTTTTGTATATTATCGGCATATCGCTGTGCAAGTTTGTTTGTAACTCTGTTTATTATGAGTCGTTGTGAGAAGGGTGAGGGAAGGGGTAAGTAGATAGTTGGGTGTGGGCTTCGATCGGGGGCGGGGAGTGACAGCCGTGTGCTCGGAGTGGGGCGATGCAACGCAACATTAGGGCGCCACGGTGGCGAGATG